CTTCACCCCACTCCCCGCCCAATATTTTTTTATTTTTTTTTATTTTTAATCGTGTCTGCAACAACGGTATCATAAATCATCAGACCAAATGTCTGTCCATTTTTAGACGCTATTTTCATCTGAACAAAGTGGGCGAAAACCTCCATTTAGTTAGTAAACGTATGACTGGAGAACATTGCGTCAGCTTTTAGAATCTTGCACGTTCGCAAAACGCATAGACAAGTTTTGTTTTTGTTCCCCTCTGCTCACACTCGTGTATAGTGCAACTGCGATTGCTTGGCTTATTGTGTGCGGCAATAATAATGCACCACTGCTGCTGCGGGAGCGCGCTTTGCGAGCCTAGTTCATGACCCGGCGGGGCCGCCCTCCCTGCTGCAGTCGGCTCGGCTCGAGCTCGGCTCGGCTCGAGCTCGGCAGCTCGGCTCACCGCTCACCGGGCCTCATTACATCACGGCTTCGTTATTAACACACGTGCCCGCCCATCGGCACGGTGGTGGTGGCCGAGGAGAGCGCCGGGAGCATGGCGCAGTAAGGTCTTTAAATTGGCCGTGTGTGTGAGTGAGTCATGCTCCCGCCAATTTGCGGCGTGCCGCGAGTGTTGTATGTGTATGATGTCGCTCCTGCGTTGGTTGTCGTCGTCTCTCCCGAAATGTGTATGAAGGGGAGGAAAGAGTACGGACGGAGCGGTCGTATAGTTAGTGACCGCGCGGGCGCGGTATTAGGCCCCACTGCTTGTTAGCACGGCGGCGCAGAGCCGAATGGAAATGGATCGCGGATGCTGTTAGAGCTTGATAGTACAGAGGTGTTTGTATGTGTGTGTACAGTCTGTGCCAAGTGGGTGCTTCACGCCTTGTCGCACACCTCATGCACTTTTTATATACTCTAGGAATCCAAGTGCACACGTGCAGGTGAGTGAAAAAATTCACACACCTGCAGGTCACACACTTGGGGTGAGTAAATGGCTACCTTTCCTAGTGTATGACTTTTTTTATTTGCTCACCTACAAGTGTCTGAATATTTTGTCGCTCACCTACAAGCGTGTGATTTTTTTCACACACCTGCAGGTGTGCGACATTGGTGCACTTGGATTTCTAGTGTAGTTTGAATCTGAGGTGACAATGCATCTGCGAGTGTGTGCTCCTCGTCCAGAGTTCTCGGTGTAGGGCAGCAGCAGGGCGGCCGGCGGCGGCGGTATGCACACAGAAAAATCCTTTCTTGGTTCCCGTATATTTGTAATTGGGTTTGCACAAGTACAATTTTTCACTTGGACTAATGCAAAAATGTCATTCAAACAAGAAAAATATACTTGTGAATAATCTTGTACGTGGACAATTTTTTTATTCGAAGAGCTGATCTCATTCTAATGGTATTTTTGCATTAATTGTTGCAACCCGAGTACAAATATACTTGAATCAAAAAAGGATTTTTCTGGGTGTGGCAGCGACCGGCGCGGTCGACGTCTCGCATTTGAACTTTATTTGACTCCTGGGTGTCAGTTTAGTTGCGCGCGCCGCAAGGTCAGGGCCTGCTTGGCCCGGCCTGACGAGATCGTAGGCTACACCGTTCCGAGACGCGCGGTACGCGGGGGACCCTGTTCGTCGGTGTGAGAACCAGTCGAATTGCATTGTGTACTGTACAGGTCCGGCACGAGCGGGCCGCCGCCGTCGTGCCGCACCGGCCATACATCCCGTCACACTTATTTACGAGGATTCCCGCGCCGCGCGCGCGCGAAATTTGGAAGCCCGCCCCGCCTGCCCCTTGACGAGAAGGGCGCCGCCGCCGCCGCCGTGCGACGGGTGGGCGTGGGAGGGCGACTGGTCGTCTCATGGTCGCGGGGCGGGGCGGGGGGAGCAGCGGGGGGCACTGCGCCACTTGTAAGATTTAGCGACGCGTTGAAAGGCCGCCGCTGTGTAAATTCGTACTCTATACTTCCGAAGGCCTTTGAGGCCCTCTTACTGCAGTGCGTGTAAGCCTCACGCCATACCATGCCATTTGACATCCGCTAAGAAAAATATATTTGTTGTTGATTCACTTTTTTCTTTGTAATCTATGGTTTACGAACAATGTTGTAAGTCGACGATCGGCGTCAAACTGTCCTGTAGACCATTTTTATCCGTCGAAAAATTCCAATTAGATGCAGAATGCACAAGAATTTTGTAATTTGATCATTCTTCTTTATTGAATATTTCTGCGTTAAAGCAACATTTTTCACAGTGCCCCCACGCTAAACTGCGTGACGACGACTGGGTGTCACCCAACACATGTCTGCTGGGCGTACACTTGCCTATACCAGTTATCCGATTCACGTTAGGAACAGAGAGTTCAAAAGTGATTACAAGATGACTTTCTTATACTGTTTATGTGCGGCGGTGGCATCTTGCTAACCCTGCCGCGCGTTATCGCTGATGTAGTAGGTGTCGTTGTCGTTGCTCTCTTACTGTACGACACACTCTCGCTATCCCCCGGCCCGCGTCACTATCGCTTCATAGACAGACAAGGTGATGCCCCCCCC